AATCGACGCGAATATTTTGCGTCGACGTATTTTTTGCGTCGACGTCATCGATGACGTCGACGCGTTGTCCCAGCCTAGAAATTACTACTGTAGTAAATACATTTTTGTTTAGTTCTCACCAAAGCTCGCTCTATTTTGCTGTAATCATTAAACTGTCACGCTGCCACTCTGAAGTCTGTCCGAAATCAGTTTCGTGAGGTACCTTCGTGAGCAAACATTGCTTGCAGAGTCATTGCCTAAGGCAGCGAGGCAACAAGTCAGCTGCCTAAGTTTTCGGATTCAGCCATAGTGTTCATAAAACAGTTGGCGAAAAGTTTCCAGATGACCTACCACTTCTGGCGATATTGTGAAGTATGCATCCAATGGACACTTTACTATCCCACGAGGCCACTATCTCTTTGTTGGCCATGTGAGAGGAATGCATACTCTTCCACACTTTGTTCCACACTTTGAATGAATGGCAGTGAAGCGACACAACTGATGCTGGTAGATCATATGACAGTGACAACATGATGAATGTAGAGAATATCCAGATTATATTCATACATTCATTCATACACACATTCATACTATATAGAACATACTTTTGTAATGGTCACAAAGTAATTACTTATTTAACATACTGTACCTATTCAGAAAGTATGCAATTTCTGGACTGTCATTTAATGTATGAATCAGTAATTTCAAAGTCCTTTTAGGCAAGTCATGCCACTCGGCCGCCATCTTGGCAACGCCTCCGGGCAGCTATTTCGGACTAACAAGACCAGGCTCTGGTCTCATCTAAATGAATGGGCAGAGAGTCAGAACTGCACTTTCACTGGTCACCGGGACATAAAAACTGCATGTATAGAAACAGCAGTAAAATATGATAAAAATCGCTGAAAAAGTTTGATGACTTTGCCCCAAAAGAAGGTTTAAAACCATGCGCAAGGGTTCACGACACCAACTTCATTTACGTCTATCCAGAATGCCGGTGTTGTGCTCTACAGCACATACTTAGAATGTAAGGTAATATATTTTTGGTCGATATAAAATGCTTTAACTACAGTAACAAGGTTCAGATGTTATGGGAAGAAGGAGGCTTGAACCGGCGAAAATTCAACCTATTTAATAAATAAACAAATACAAAAATGGAAGTATGCCAGCAGCCCCGGACGAGCTGCTGGCCACACAAAACAGAAACAAAACACAACATAAAATCAGGCCTGTTCCTCTCTCGATCTCCATGTCGTCGCTCCTCCTTTTATGCCTCCGCTCCTCCGTGAGAAATACGAGACCGATGCGTTCTTGGTAGTCCGGTGTTCATCAGTAATCACGCCACCGGGCTCGCGCCGCTCTCTCACGTCCCTCGTCCTCGGCCTGCTCGCCACAACTACCTTGGTAGTCCGGTGTCTTCGCGTTGTTATCACCCTCTTCCATGTGGATTCCATCTGATCTTGCACACAACACCATGGCACAAAACAACTCGCTGTCGCCAAATTGTCTCCGCTGTCGCAAACCTCAACTGTGCGCATGCGTCAGTGGAACCAGACGATAGGCTTAAATGTTTCCCGGCTTGACTGTTAAAAGCAGACGATTGGCTTTCCAGCGGGAGGGGTGGGACATGTGCATACAACCGCCATCTTTGACGTTACGGGTTTTCCCTATATAGTTGTATTGAGGATTGAGGAAGTGGCATGTCTCTATATAAATTGTCTCTGGTAATTTTCAACAAATCCATTGGGTGAATCGATGTAATCCACACGAAGAATCACTGGAACAACCCCACCACCAATCACAGATGTTATTAATCTGAAATAAATCAGATTCTTCATCCACGGATTTGAAGCTATTGATAGCCTGACTGCAGCAGGATTTATTGGTACAGTATGTCCTTAGAGGGTTCAGACAAGCCAATTCTTCAAAGTTTTAATGAAGGCTAATAACAGCCTAACTCTCCAAAGGGAACTTGTTCACATTAATAAACAAAACGAGCGAATGAGCCTGCACACACAAAAGCCTCCATGCTCTCTAGCCAAGGGGCTTTCAACCCTGGCAGTGGCTCAAGCTTGATGTTTTCTGTGTTGTTGCTGTGCCAAATTATATTGTAATTACTTATTGGAGGCAGTCATGACAAGGCTGGGTCGAGGGGCTGCGGGAGGAGCAGAGAGGAGGACCTGATTGTTGCTGTTCAGTCATGATGGTAAATCGTTTGTGCTTGACTTCAAGAAAATGTGCATTGATGGAAAGAAAAGCTGGGCGTTCCACGTCGCTCTCAGGATCTTCTGAGAATGTCTCAAATGTCTTTGGCTTTGGTAGGAGAGGAGTAATTGCCAAAATAAGGTGTCAGTTTGTCAGCTTTGGTATCTTTTCCCACTCCCACAGAAACGGATCCCTGTACTGAACTGTTAGCGATTAGTGTAAATGAAACCTACTAGGACAGAAGCTCTGGGAAGTTTCTCTCCTTCTTTTTCTTTCAGATATACTGGCTCACATGAGTAATAGGGATCGGAATCACAGTTTAAGGGTTCTTAATCTGATTCCACTTAACGATTCTGCAAATCTGATTCTTTAAATATTACGGTAATTATTCTTTTAGTTTTTTTGAGTAGTGAGATGCCTTTGCAGCCCAATAACTGGACCTTTGTGCTAAACAACATACTGCACAAAAACAATACTTTTGGTTCTTGTGGTTCATTGAGTCGTTTCACTTATTCAGACTATTCAGGGAACTTGTAAGTTGTTCTTTGATTATTTAACAGGAATGTTTGGTTTGCAATTGCTAAGTGATGTCCCAAATTAATTCAACTGATGTACAGTTTTTGTCACAGGTGTCCAGCTTTGAATATAATTTGGCTATTTTATAATATTAAGAATTTATTACCATTTAGCTATTTCTTTAATGCCAGATTTGCATTTTATATGTGCACAGTAATGTTCAAAAGTTTGGGGTCGGTAAGTTTTTTTTAGTTTTCTGAAAGAAATGCCCAGTATTTGATCAAAATACAGTAAAAAGTTATTTTAAGTTGTAATAATATTTCAAAATATTCCTGTTTTCTGATTCAATGTATTTAAAAAAACAACAACTTATGCCTGTGATGAAAAAAAGCTGAATTTTAAGCATCAATACTCCCAGTTTTCAGTGCCACATTATCCTTCAGAAATAACTCTAATATGCTGAATTGGTTCTCAAGAAACATTTATTCTTATTATCAATGTTAAAAAACAGTTGCACTGCTTAATGTTATTTGTGGAAACCACAATAAATGTTTGTCAGTATTTATTTTAAAATTGAAATCTTTGTAACATTGTCAATGTCTTTACTGATGTAAAGTAAAACATTTTTTTAAAAACTTTTGATCAATTTAATGCATCCTTGCTGAATAAAAGTACTTTAATTTCTTTAAAAATATGTTGTTGCATAGTATGCGCAATAATAACTCCCAGATATCGGCCACAATGAAACATTCGTGTCTATTATCCTTTTGAAATGAAAAAATCCAAGTAACCAATTGTTGTACTAGCCAGATTTAAAACCCCTTCCCATTTGGCTGTTGAGGGGACAGGCCCAGAGGTGGCAGTAAAGAGGCAGTCAGCTTTGAGGGTCACCTTGATGTCATAGTTATTGTCAAAGCCATTGCCAGCGTGGTTCCTCTCCCCTCTGCCCCGTCTGCTTTGAGTTGGCTCAAGTCAGCAGCACATGACTGGGATTTGTAGACTGCCCATCGCTGCCTGCTCTTTCTCACACTACAAGGCTAATGTGAGGGACCACAGCAGATGTGGCGAGGAGCTCAGGCTGTGGCACATTAAGCCGCTGCCCTTGGGTCGCAAATGTGCTGCCTAACGTGGAGCCGAAATTAGTTGCAGGCTGAGTTTAAGAAGTCTCTGATGGATTAGAATAACAGTTTGAAATAGTTATAGAAAGCTTAAAGTATTAGGCCCTGTCCCAAATGGCGCACTTTCGGTTTTGTGGACTTACAATGGCTGCCCTGTGATTTATGAAGTCCACGAGACCATACAGTGTCCCATTTGCCATTTTAGGTTTCAGAAGGGTTCTCGTGAGATATGCCCCCTTGATGCACTCTTTTGCCGAGCCTGCACTGAAGTGAGCACCGCAGCAGACTTCTTTCCATCAATCAAAGCAACATTGCGTAAGTGCAGACTCGTAGGAAGACCGCGAGTGCTTTGGGTGCTATTTGGGACAGGGCCTTTGGTTGACCCCATATTTAACTAGCAGGAAGTTTGTGAACTTTCATAAACTGTTTGTGAACATTTTTATTTATAAAATTGTATATAATACATCTATTAATAATAATACATAAAAAAACTTTCATAAAATAATATTTAATAATACATAAATAATAGTGACCAGGCTGGCAGTATATTTGCAACAATTTAGCGGGCAGAGTTATCTTTGACCGTTTAATTGGTCCTCGCTGATATATTACTTGTGTTTGTGTTGTAAATCTTCAATCACTATTGATGATTGAGTGGCAGAGGCGATGGGTAGACGTGTGTCCTTGTAGATGTTGTGTGTGAGAGCGGTGTGTCTTGAATAAAGGAATGATTACTTTGGCGAATGGTTGACTAAAGAGCCGGTGTTGTAAATGTATGTGGGTGTGTGCAGTCTGGCACCTCTCACTCGGCAAAACCAGAAATTAGATCACAGGGGCTCGCATGATGAAACAGAGCCCCAAATAACACACGGCTGCTTAATTAGGCTGTCGGGCCAGGGGGTCCTAGTATGCCTGCCTGCAGCCACATTAACTGAGGGAGTCGTATTGTAATTCACATTTCAGTGTCAACAAATTGTGGATCAAATGCTGTCCAAATGAAATGTTATTGCCCCGGAGGCTTTTAAATATACGGCCAGACGCTTTAAATAATTCATGTACAGAGACTTGTCAGGTTAAGCAGGAAGCACGTATTCCTAGCCGTTTAAGGTTTTTAATGAGAGGAAGTCATGGACTTAAACCAAGACCGATAACACGTTTTGCTTCTCTCTGTTCCTCCCTCGGCAGCGGGCTGCACGTTTGATGAAGACTCCGACCCCAGTCTGTGTGAGTTCAGCCAAGGGGAGGAGGATGACTTTGATTGGCAGCTGTTCCGCGCTCACGCCTCGCCACACTCCACCTCTGATCTCCTGCGCGGTAAGTCTGCCCAGCATTGTCCATTCTTATTCAACCAGTTTATTTCACACTGTGGCGCAAACTGTTTCGCGCCCGTGGTCCCGTCCATCTCAGATGCCCTCCTACCGGCCTCATCAGAGTGACAGCTGGAACGATGGCCGGCCTTAACAGCATGCTCTTTATTTTGTTTCTCGTTTTATTTGTAGTTTTGTAAAAATGTAGAGAAAGTTTTCTGTTAAATGTGTTGCTATCTGGAACTACTGAGAACATGCAGCCGATATTCCAGTTTTGGCGATGGGCTGCTGCAGGAAATTAATAGAACTCCCTCGGACACATGCAGATCAACTTTGACCAGTCAAAACAAGCGGGCGAAATGAGAAAGGTAAAGAGTCGGATCTATAAACGCACATCAGCAGGTCTCGTCTCTCGATGTCTTATTCTGTCCATGTCAACCGGCGAACAGAAGTGATTAGGAAGTTGGCCCTACCTGAAACGAATCGATCCCGACAATCAATGAGTTCTTTGAAATGTAGCCCATCCCGAAACGGGAAGTGTCAGAGAGATGCGCGCGGCCTGCTGGGAAGGGGCTTTTATTGAGAGTCATTGTTGAAACTAGATCAAAACAAGCAGAGGGAGGCAAGAAAGTGCAGAACTAGTAATTGGATTAGGCGGCCACCGGTGGTAAGACAGTGAAAGAGACAGATGGATCGCTGGGACTTCGATGCGAGGAGAGATAGGATGCCGATGACACAATGAAACATAAAAACTTGGTAAGGTTTTCAGCGATGAAGTAAAACACTGGGGACCTGGATAGAGAGACTTGTGAAAAGCATATCTCAGGGGGAATGTGAGCCAAGCCATAATCTACACAAGTTTGAATGGAAGGTCAAAGACTACCAGAGGAATAGGAATTTACAGACTGGGCCGGCTGTCCTTAATCTTTTTGAGGAGACAAATAGTACTACATTTGTAGTGTACATTTTTTTAGTATATATATATATATATATATATAAAGTGCTGCGTAATTGAAGGAAACATGAACTAACAATGAAAAATAGTTATCTTATCTTAGTTACTGTTAATTGCAACATTTACAAATACAGCTAACACTTTATTTTACAGTGTCATTGTTACATGTAGTTACTATAGTAATAACTATAAATTATGCAAAATTACACGCAGCTAACCGTAAACCAAACCAATCCCTAATTCATAACCCTATAGTGCATTACTTAGTACATAAATGTATAGTGTAATAATGACACCTTAAAATAAAGAACAACCCAAATATATATTATTAAAATCAAAAGCTGTATCTGTTAGTATTATTTAATGGACCTGGTTAATAAATACTGTAACAAATGAATTGCTCATTGTAAGTTAATGTTAGTTAATGCATTAACTAATGGGACCTTATGTAAAGTGCTTTGGTACTATTCTCAACAAAGTGGTACATTTTCAAAACTTTTACAAATCTCATAAAAAATAAACAAAAATGCAGTTTTAATGCTTATTTGTCACACAAAAAAGTACATTTTCGCTACACATTCTGTAATATATATATATATATATATATATATATTGAGATTTTATCAAGAAAATAAATAATATTATGAATTATTTATTTGTTTTTATATATTATGTTTACATATTTATTACATTTTTTTTATTTATTTTTATTACAAACTGTTGGTTTGCATTTCCTGACCTGTTATGACAGCTGTGTTTTACCATTTTTTTCATTCATCATTTCTTAGGGTGATTTGATGCCTGTATCTTGTATCATCTTCTGTTGAAGTAAATGATTGTGAAAATTACTAAATTGAAAGATCACCGTTTTTCGGTGATTAAAGCAAATTTTCTCATTATCTGTTATACTAATCTAGTGATTTGAGGTAATTGTTGTGTGAAAGGAAAGATTTATGCTAATGAAAGCACTGCAGCAGGTTTTTTGAAAAAATCAACTGGCAGTGCTGCAAGTGTGATCAGTTTGAAGTGAAGTCTAAGAGAATGTTCCACGCAATTGTGAATAGTACCAAAGCCACTAAAACAAAACTATAACTGGTTTGAAATATATGAATGAGTCATTAGGATAGTTGAGGATGATGGAATCCTCCACCACAGTACATCATAATCAGCATTCTAATCATATGCAGACCCAAGACACTTCACCCGCAGTCACAGGCGCTGTGCAGTAATTAATACATTTCCCTCTGGGTTTAATTAAAGCCGACTGTCTGTCGGGTGACATTCACTCTGCTCCGAGGGCAACAGATGAGTCTAGGCATGCAAAGTTTAAGTAGGTGAGAATGATGTCACACCTTGAAAACACAGCAGGAAGTGTTTGACTGTGTGAATGTAAATAGACAGTGACATCGCACGTTCACCCTGCGGTAGGAGTTTATCATATACTCTTACATGGAGAACCCCACACTGGCATCTGTAATGGGCAATGAGGCTTTAAACCGGCAGATTTTTGATCTTCATAACATGGGGCAGATTGGCTTTGGGAAACTAGGTCAGAAACTGCCATGGTACTGAGTGGCAAAACGGATGCTTTAATGTTGTTTTCTGTGTCAATATGCAAACGTTGCGCTCTCATGCATAAGGCCAGTTGTATTTTCTCAGTTCTTAGTGTTTCAGCGATTCTGTCACCATCACCCATCTTAATTCAGAGCACGACGCTGAGCTAACTTTTGCTTAGAAGATTACAAGAGGATGGGGTGTAACTCTGCTCCCTGTGTGTGGATAAAGCGGCACAGTTTTGCAGTGATAACCCGTATCTCTCTGTCAGGAGACAAATTCAGATTTTCTGTCTGAGGAAGAGGTTTATGAGGGGTGAGAAGGGGCTTTGGATGCCTACGGGGAACTCAATGACATTTTCACATTTATGTATATAAAAAATATACTTTTTTAATAGAAATATATTTTTTTCTCTGTCTCACTATGACAACAGGTCATATTTGTGACGAACAGTTTCGTAGTGTGACTTGTTAAAGGCCAGCATGGGTCATTGTGTTACTCACACCTAGGGCTGCACGATTTAAATCACAATCTAAATAAAACCAAAATCAGGATATGGCTTAGTACAATTATCAAAAAGCAAAGGCTGCAATTTAATCAAATAAATGGATAAATCAATATAACCGGCTGGTTTTTCCACCCAAAAAAAAAAAAGAAAAAAATGAAGAAATTAAGACTGCTGTAAACTTATTTAAACTAATTAAATATATTTCATATTTCTTATTTAGTAATATTTTAAATTACTAATTATATTAAAAAAGTAAAAATAATAGTCATTGATAATCAATTTTTTTTAAAATCACATTTTAAATATCAATTGCAATTTTTATCCAAAAAACAAAAACAAATATATATGTATATATCCCCTCATAGAATCGTGCTGTCCTCAAATCTCTCACAGAAATTGTGGTTTTGTTCCTCATGTTTCACATGTTGCTTAGTTGCTTAAGATAAAGGGCCTGTCAATCCATAAATGTAAAATGTTTCCATATGTAGTTCTGGAAAAGAATAAAAAAAAATACATACCCTATGATGGTACATGTTCCACTTAGGGAATAGTTCTTAGGGTGTATTCACACCAGGAAAGTCCGATAGTTCACTTGCTTTGGTCCGGACCAAATAATTTTTTATTTTTTATTTTTTGGTACGGTTCGCTTTCACACTGCGCTTTTTGCAAGTGAACCAAAATTTGTAAACAAAACCACACGTGTGCTAAGGTCGTCCATTCATTGGACAAGGATTCTCAAGTAGGGAAATCAGGAAGTGCAAAAAAGGCTTAACGTAAATTAACGCAGCATCATCCTTGTATTGTAACTATCGTTACATTATATGAACTGCAAATGCTTTTTTTTTGCATCTATGCGCGATTAGACTAAAGAGAACGCTCTGTATGTGAATGTCCTGATGCACACACTCATTCATTCATTCCATTCCAATGATGACAGTTGTAGGTTACAGTTTGACAAGAGTTTACAGTGTGACAAAAGCACAATGTTGTGTTTTATTGCGAGTGTACACAAATATAAGTAAACACTTTGCAGGTTTAATGATCTGTATGAACAAAATGACGGAGTATGTTTTTTTATGTTTCCACTGTTCGATCGCGATCGCGCCCGCGCCTCTCTCTCTCACACACACACACACACACACACACACACACACACACACACACACACACACACACACACACACACACACAGTTCGATCACGGCCGCGCCTCTGCGCACACACACACACACACTCCAGCATTGCAATCTTGACATTGCAGCCTGTTCATTATGCGGTCACACCAAACGCGAATAGAGCGTCAAATTCGCGTCTAGTTCGACGCTAGTCCAAAGCGGACGCGCATATAAAGCAAACGTTTGAAGTGAACGGGCGTTCAGAGCTAATAGCCGATGGTACTACAGATTATGTGTCCCTAAAGAACCCGCATATCTAACAGTAGTTCCGCATTACATTAATTAATTTGCACGCGAGTTTTATTTGTTTTTATACCATGTATTCTCCGTGTAAATTCGTGCACCGAACAGTGACGCCCGTACGTTTCGGTTCAATACGAATACATGTACCGTTCCACCCCTAATGCACACACGACGCGCAACAGATGTAATGTAGTAGGCTACAACAGATCACTTTCCCATAACGCAACTCCGACTACGGAAGCCTGTTAACTCAAAGGCGCAGCGCTTTCTTGCAATTGGGTCGGTTCATGTTCACACCGTAAACGAACCGTACCAGAGTTCGTTTGGAACCGTACCAAGACCACCTCTTCAGCTGGGTCTCGGTTCGGTTGTTTGGTCCGCACCCGAGTTCGATTGCTGTATTCACACCTGCCCAAAAGGTCCGCACCAAGGGGGGAAACGAACTAGAGTTCGATTCAATCGAACCAAACAAGGCAGGTGTGAATACACCCTTAGAGACGTCTTTTAAGACTGTATCAGTGTGTCTTTGATTTGAATTTGGCTTTAGACTATCATTCTTACAGTTTGACTTCA